TTTGAGGTAGGTTAAAGCTCACCAAAAACACTATTTTTAGGCACGAAGAACTTACTACAGATACCAAATTTCTTTAATAAAAGTTTAAGTACATCAAAATTTTGTCTAGAGGTTTATTAACTTTTTTTTTTAACTGTAGACGACTAAGTAAATATGACCGATCATACTACTATATTAGAGCAACTACATTGTATGAATTCGCAAATTGAATCTCTCACAAAATTCAAAGAAAACAATATACTCTAAAAATAGGGTCTTGTTTTTATCTACTTATAAATGTTGTATATTAACCGATTGTGTGTCAAACCGAAACAACTTCTGTATATCGTGGGATTATACCAAAAACAATCACCACAAATCGTTTAAGATTTTCATTATTTTATTGTAGCTTACTGTTTAACACACTTATTTAGAAAAAACGTTCAGTAAAAAAATTAATTAAAAATGATGATATGTTATGTTAACTACTTTTATTATTTATTTCTATAGTATAGTTAGACTATATGAATCAAGTAATCATTTTATTTTCCGGGCCTAATTAATTAGAAATTGCACATTTTAAAAAAAAAATTTCTTAGCTCAAAATGTTAGCAAATAATTTTTGATCTTTTAAAAATTCAAATAGTATCCCAATTTGCAAAAAAAAAATGTTTAATATTTATCATTTTTTATAATCGCATTCGAAAAATCTTAATTTTACAAACACAATATTTTAGTATTTCAAAACTACTTAATTTCGAAACTATAAATGTATGTGTTTGAAAATGTATTAAGTTCATAAGTATAATAAAACTATATATTTTCAATCTGAAAGTTACAATACATATTTTTCATATTATAATTTATATTATCAAAATATCATATAGTTTTAATTTTATAAATACAACTTCAAACAGTGATAAATTGTACATTATCAACTATGATTCAAAACTCATGTACATAATATAATTTTCTCAAAATCAATAAAATTGTACATCAAAGTTTGTAAAAATATCATCAAATCATAAACTGAACATAAAACATCAAAATAAATATAAATAACTCCGCACACAATGCGGGTTAGAATCTAGTAGTATTTAAAAGAAGGGGTATCTCAAATGTTAAAATACTAATCCAAAAGTATCAAAGATGAGATAGTATGAGTCACTTTTAGATGAGTATCTCACCATTTGAAATACCTATTCTTTTAAATACTATACCTTTTTTTTGAATTTTGTAAAGAAATTAAAGTTATACCAAAAATAAAATTTGGTAATACTTGAACGTGTTCCAAAAAGATTTATATATCCTTGAACTTTTAAAAAAATTCAAATTTTCTGAAGCTAAAACTTGTGTAAAGCTTTGATTAAATTTCACTTTTGTGTAATTTTAGGTTTCCTATATGAATGTATTGATTGAGGTTGTATATTGTTATAAGACTGTCATAATATCAATATTTTTATTTTCCAAAATAAAACATATATACGAAAATATCACTTGATTCTTGTGTTATATAAAGATCGTTTATATAACTTATTAAAGTCATTAACTTGTTTTAGTTCTTTTACTACAGTAAATATTAACATTTTCAAATAAAAGTACATTTTAGCAAGGTATTTAGGAACACGCTGACTCAAAATTTTCAAAAACAGTTGAAATTTCTAAATAAAAAACGAATCAACATTTTACCAAGTAGATGTAAAATGTCAATTTTTAAAATAAATCCAAGACTGTAAAGCATCTGGCTATAATAAATGTGGCCAACTCGAGCTCAAAGGTTCCTCATGGTCTGTGACTAAGTCGATCCCAAAGATCTTTCGTATATGCGACCAACTCGATCCCAAATGTCTCTCATGGCCCTAAGCAACACTACATCAAATGTATGTATGGCTTGAAGCCAATAACTTTTTTTGTCAACCTCTTTTACAAAAGCCTCATGAATTCAAACGGAGTACAATAATGACATTAATGCCTAACACATGAATAAACACAAAAGATGATACAAGTTTATAACATATGTAAGGTACTTGATAAGATCTTGCAACATGGCATAAACTTGATGCTATGAAGAACACTTAACTTCGCCACCGCTCTTGACCCAACCACCTTTGACTTCTTCACCAGAGAAAAAGTACCGCCGGTAAGGTTCTTCATCAAGAGCCGCGGCAGCACCTTGATTTGCCAAGACTTGTACTCCCAAATGAAATCCTCTCGCTTTAAACCGACACTAAATAACCAGAGGAACCATGTTTCACCGATCCTTAATCCTGAGGAAGCTTAAGTCGGTTGAAGATTCTCTGACGGACTGTTTGAAATGCCATCTCTGCTGAATCCCCTTCAAAAAGACCAAGAAATCCAAAAAACTTGCCCTTTTTTCATTAGAGAAGCTTTACCTTAAGCCAAAGATGGCTGAATCTAAAGATGACAAACACTGATTTTTCTTTAAACAAAGGTTAAGTTGTTCAGAGAAACACAATATCTAATCAAGAGTCATCGGGATTAGAGTGACGTATCTCGAAATGTTGAAACTTGAAAACCATATTATCGCATAGCAAAGAGGAGTCCAACTACACAAAATGTTACAATCTATCAAACTATATTATACAAAACAAAAAAGGGTCGATGAACAGCGGCATAAAGCCACCGGCCACCGCAAACGAGTAAGTCACAACAGGGAGAACTATGGCCAACACTCTCTGCTGACGGTTTGGTGGTGCTGGAAATGGAGGTGTGGTTATGTATTTGGTGAGAAGGAAACATGTAGAGATAGGGTGCAGTTCCTTAAGGACGAAGCTCAGGAAGTGATAAGAGCAAATGTAAAACTCAGGGAATATGGGCCGGTTCGGGAGTGTGTGGCGAAGCAAATCTTATGGCATAGATACGCAACTGGCTGGTTCAAAATGAACACTGATGGAGCATCCAGAGGAAACCTGGGACTCGCAACCGCGGGTGGGGTGTTGCGAGATGAGAACGGAATGTGGCATGGAGGTTTCGCACTGAATATTGGTATCTGCTCGGCCCCTTTGGCGGAACTGTTATAGCATGAGATCGTGGTATTCGTCAGTTGGAATTGGAGGTTGATTCGGAGTGTGTGGTGGGGGTTTTCCAGACAGGGATCCATGATTCTCATCCCCTGTCATTCCTAGTACGCATGTGCTATGGCTTTTTATCAAGAGACTGCTTAGTCAAGATTGCTCACGTGTATAGAGAAGCTAATTATCTAGCAGATGAGTTAGCTAACTATGCTTTTTTCTACCTTTTGGTTTACATTTTTTTGATTCTGTCCCAAAGAGTGTTGTTTCCATTTCTTCGGAGAATTTTCATGAGGTCTAGCCTTGTAATTCAGTTTTGTTATGAATAAAAAGGTAGGGGACTCATGTCTCTTGCCTTCTACTAAAAAAAAGTTGAAAACTTGGGTTTTATATCCGCAAGTTTCTCTTAGTTTTATTCGTTGCCGGGTGGATGCACATCAGCACATGGATCAGATTGATCTATTTTAAACTATGAATACATCCATAACTTTTTTTTTTTAAATTGTAATTTAAAAAAATAAATTCATTATCTTAAATAAAAAATAAAAAAATATATTAGTTTATTATAAAATATATTATATTTGTATATAAATAATTACAATATAATAGATATAATTATTTTTTAATTTGAGAAAATTATCTACGGATACTACACTTTATCCATAAATCTCCTAGACATTATTTGAGAAATAATTTTTCAAATTTTGATTATTCGCCATTTACCCAATCACTTTTCTTAAAAAATAAATAAAATGGCACTCTAACAACTATGAAATGGCTTGTGGAATTGTTTAGATAATTTTAAAATATGATAATAATTTGTACATCATCATTGAGGTAAATATATCTAAACATATTATTAAATAAAAATAATAATAGAAATATAAAATATATAATTAATTTTGAAATATTATTTAATTGTATATTTTATAATTATATATTTTTATTACTAATAAGTTCTTCAAAGTTTTATATTTTTTGAATTTTTTAAAAAAAAAATTAAATTCTTTAGAAATACTATTAGTTTTCTTTTGATATCTACAAATTTTAGAAATACTACTTATTTTCAATTTTTAATAATTATAGAAAAACATATATCAAAATTTTGTTTTTCAATTTTTTAACAAGTTGATTTAATAAATTTTTAACCAAAATAGATAAATATTTATGTAATACTATAGTTTTAAGCTTATATCTATTAGTAATACAACTTAAAAATGAAGAAAAATTGTTTATTATCTTAATTTTTATGTGTAATTAAATTATAACTTAAATTAAAATACTGGTAAGAAAATAATAAATTTAAAAATCTTAACCAATTTTATTTTTAAATATAATTTGAAATTGAAGTAGTCTTTTGCTTCACATGGTGCATGACCTAGTTACGAGTTTTGTGAATCAGATTTTTAATCATAAAGAGTGATCACGAGAAGATCTGTCCCGCTTTCAACACTGGTTGCGAGGCCTGTACCTCGAGGCTGGCTTAGGTCGCGAGCTCGCTGGGAACTGGGCCTGAATCTGCGCCAACACCAGAGCCTAACAACTGGTGAATGAGAGTTCAAGTCTGACAGTGAGATAGGTGAGTAACAATCTAAATCTCACACAAGGTCGTATCTATAACAAGCAAAACAAAAGAATGACTTTGACCCAAAAAAAAAGAGAAAAAAAAAGAATGACAAAGTAGCGGAGAGGAATTTCAGGAGACTTAAACTACCAAACTTTCGACAAGATTCAACAACTTCCGCAACAATGTTTTGCAGCTAATTAAAGAAAGACCCAACCAACGACATCAATAGTCTTAAGTAAATCATCATACAATAAGTACGATTTTTTCACGACAGAATAGTCGGCACATTCAACTCTAACCCCCGACCCAAAAAACCAAAAGTCTTGCTAAGATTTAGAAAAAAGATTTATAATATAAGAGTCAAAAGGAGAACCACAAAGGCGGGTAGATAAAAAGCAGCTTCCTTTTGATATTCGTCATCATCATATCATCATCCCACCTGCATCTTCTTCACGGTCTCTCATGCTTCCAGGAATCTCCTTCATCAACTTTGGCTGAAGTCAAACAAACCATCTCTCGTCTCGTTAGTTTAACTCAATGATTTCCCTTTTGATTATAAAAAGAAATCTCCACTACTAATAACCTGGTTTTCAAGAGCTGTTAAGGTGGACCTAAGCAGATCATCTCCTACAATCCCCCGCAGTTTCCTCACAAACTCTGCTCGCGTCATCTTTTTTTCCTGCAAAACACTTATAAATTTCAGCTCTCATGCAATTCTCAAAATCTATATAGCACACACTCTCAGATCAATTTCTACCTTCAGTTGTTGGTAGTCAGCATTGATTAAAGCCATGTCTTTCTCGGCAATTTTATGTGAGATTGCTGCAAACACAGTAGGAAGAGGCATCCGTGGAGAGTTTGGTTTTGTCATGCTCGAACCAACACTGTTTGCACTCCCGCTCCCTGGACCTCCTTCAGGTCCACCCTGTATTTATACAAACAGACCAAAGTATAGTGAGTTCAATCCCTTTGACAACATAACAGAAAAAGAAAAGAAAAAACAAACAAACTCACGTTGGACACCAACTGCGGAGGAACATCCTTTGGTCCTTCCAATGTGATACCTGAGTTATCATTCCTAGCAACCAAATTACCTGCAGAAACCAGTGTATGTCATCGATTTCTTATACATCACAAAACAGAATGTGATGGAACGTAATACCCATTAAGCCCGTGAGTATCTCCATCCGACCCCCGGATGATGAAAATCAGAGACTTGTCTCTTGAAAACCAAAATGGTGTGTTCAAATAACACCGGAGGTCGTTAGGTTTTAACACACAACGGATTTCTTTATTTTTCTTTCTCAAATTACCAGTTGAGACCTGAGCTTCAGTCAGATCTCTAAGCTGTCTCCCTTTCAATGCGTCATCAGTTATGATTTTAATTTGTGGAAAAAGATTTCATGAAAAGATAACAAACTAATCACCTTCAGCATTTGGGGGAACAGACAGCTTGAACCTAACGACAAATTCCGGGAATACATGGGTGTTCATATTGATGTTCCACACAATGTAGTTCTTTGGATTCTCGAGATCATCCACTCCATTGTCATATTCTTCTCCACCAGAGAAGAACTGAGCTTTGTCACCACGAAGAAGCTCCATGTTCCCCATTATTACACGGCATAAAACCATGTACCGTACTCCATTTTCGTCAATATCACAGTACCTAGCACTGAAAACAAGCTATTTAGCAATGTATATTTATTAGAGGTCGGAGCTTAGTATATATATGAGCTAAACAATCGAAAATAAAAAACTAGTATGAGGCATAATCAGGGAACAGAGGCAAGGGCAAACCTGAAATAAGGGCAGTCTGCAGCAGTTAAATGTATTCCAACACCGTAGATAGACTTTCTGATAAAAGTTCCTCCAATTCCAAGTCCCTGCATCATAACCGCAGATAAAACTTCCCTCTTTGCAGGAAGCCATGCGTATCTAACGTTTGCGTCTCCTCGAAGTTTCTTAGTGATCTCAACCTGCTTCTGGAAAAGGGCAAGACGAGCTTCAGCAATCTCACTGGAAAAGCAGCTTACATCCAGCACGGCTACAGGCCCTAGAGAAGCTGTGCCTGTGGCAAACATTATTTTAACAGCATCTT